AGAGCCTCTACCAGAGCAGCCCCAACACCCAGGTGGCACAGCAGGGCCTTGGGGACAGGCTGTGGATGTGCCCTGCTGTGCTTGGGGCTGTCCCAGGCCTCCCGGTGCCACCATGGGCCTGGTGCTCGCCGCGGGCCTGCCGCTGCCAGGCGCTCGGCAGCCGGCTCCCACTCCTCCGCCGTGCCGCTTCCAGCAGCAGCTTGTTGTCATCTGTTATGACTAGCGATTTGATCGGATCTTATGGTTTGGCAGTTCTTGCTGGGAAGATCCCAGCACAAATCTATACTGTCGAGGGTGACTGCTGAGAGATGAGACTAACTTTTTTTTTTCTCCCTGAGTGTTATTTTCACTCTGGTCTAGTGTAATGATCGTAGATACGTTGTTTTTTTTTCTGTTTACAGCAGTGTGACAGGCTGGAAAGGAAAAATCACATCCAGGAAGCTATTGATAATGTTTTCCTCAACTTCTTCGCTCTAAAACAGAGTATGTCAGCATGAAAAAACCTGCTACAAACCCATATAAATGTAGGGATCTCTATTTGGGAAGCTATTTTCTAGCACAGGGTAGTCCCTGAAGCTGTGTGTGTGTTTCAGACCAGAGTTACTGACCTCCCTGCACTGGTGAATGGCATGACTGGGAGGGATTAAAAACCTGCCTATTTTGAAGCACTTCCTTTTCCTTACGCTGTTTTTAAGATCCTTCTGGTGCTGCCGGGCCCAGCACAAGCCTGTGGGTGCTCAACATGGGGGAGCTGGAGCCGCTCTGGGCCCGTCTGGCTGTGGGTGAAATAATGAGCTCCAGAGCCGAAGAGGATTTCATTCATCTGCAGACGATGCTCTTAAATGAACTTACTGTAAGCTCTTGCTCTAATTAAGGAATAGATGGCTTTCTTAGCACTCGTTTGGCAGGGAAAAAAAAAAGATGCACTTGTTTTTGTGTGCTATGCTGGCATTCGTACACTGAACACTTTTTCTCTAGCCCTAATACCAAGGCATCCCTCATGAGCCCTGGGCAGAGAGAGACACTGGGGTGCCAGTCATGCAAACTGGTTATCCTGTCATTCTCCTTTAAAATACATTTTTCTTTTACATTTAATGTGCTTGCCTTAGAGCTACAGCACTTTTATGAGAACAAATCCTGCTGCAGGGGCTGCTTGCTGCTGGGAGCTGCCTGGTTCTGCTCCTGGCTGCTGCAGGGACAAGAGGAGAAATTTCAGGGCTCTGTGCACCGGGAGCAAAGGAGTGGTGCTGGCTCACCCCTGTGTGTCAGGGTGTGAGCTGGGCATTGTGGAGCTGCCAGTCCTGTCCTGGGTACGTGCTGTGCCCTGAGGGAGGGATGTGCCCCACAGCTGGGGAGGATAAATGGCAAACCTGCTGCCTGGCTGCATGGGAAGATCTGCTCTGTGTCAGGTTAAGTCTGAGCTGAGGGTTGAAATCTCCCTCGCAGATGAGCCTCAGGATGGGGAAGCTTGCTGGCTGTCCCCACAGCAGCACAACTGCTTGTTCCCCTCCTGCCTGCCATGCTCCAGCAGGTGACAAGCTCCCTCCTGCCTTGGGAACTCTTCCTGGGGTTTCTTGATGGCTGAGCTTGGTAGCAGCAAATTTTTTTAATTTGAGAAATGCAGATAAAAGCCTTGCTGCTAGAACACAGAAGGCCAAGACGATTTCCCAGCCACCCGCCTGTATGGAGAGCCCCCAGATGAAGAAGCGCATTCACGCAGCTGCATAAATATTGCTACTAAAATACTCCAAGCACTGTTATGCCCATCAGCGCCCTTTATTTGGACGTTAGCTCTGCAGCCAGAGAGCAGCCTTCTACCGTAACACAACGGCTCGGCAATCTCATCTGATTACGGGAGTAAGTGGTGCATACGAAGCAAAGCTGCCTGATGACAAAGCCCTGATATGAGGGATCTAGAGATTAATCAGGCACATCAGTTTTTCTGTAGGAAACAGCCAATTTCTTCAAAATTAATGGATTGGAAGACTTTCTAGTAAATTTAGGGAAAAAAAAGGCAGATTTGTTTGGAGTGTGGAGTGCATGGGGTGTGTTGGGAGGAGCGGTGTTGATCGGTGTCAAGCACAGCACTGATGCTGGGGCTGCTCCAACAGCAGGGCCACCAGGCCCCCATGTGGGACCCCTGGCTCCCCTCTGTCCACTGCACCCACAGGGGATGGCAGTGCCATGGGGAAGTCCTGGGAAACACGAGGTTTCCTCGGTACTGCCGTCACAGCATCGCTGCTGCCAACCAGGCAGTGAGAAGTCTCCTTTTGCCTGCTAGTACCGGTATTCAACAAATAATAATATAATCAGAGCAATCAAATCTTCAAGTGCTGTCACATTATTTCTGGAAGTTGAAAGCATGAAATGCTCTGGCAGCTTTTGCGATAGAGGCTGAGCAAACCGGTGGGTTTGTGATGGAGCAGGGCTGTTTCGGGGCCATGGGAGCTGTGCTGAGCTGGGCTTTCTGTCCTGGCTCTGACAGGGAGGGCAGGGCAGCAGCCCCTCTCCTGCCCCCCTGCTGTGTGGGATCAAGCTTAATTTAAGGGCAGAGGTATTCAGGAGACTGCCTGTCAGTGCTGTTTTGTCTGCTGAAACAGGCACAAGGAAGCGAAGCCTGCCTGGTTGGGGTTAAATTTCTGGGTGTCTGTAAGAGTCCTAGAGAACAGAAAAGAGTCAGCTACAAGGCTCTGGCCATTGCTTCCTCCAAGCCAATGAACACAAATCTTTCCATCTTTCCTGAGACATGGGGCAAGGAGAGGTGAACAGAAAATGAATAAAATGAGGTCTCAGGGGTGCGCTGTGAGCTGGGCTGAGGTCTGCGGCTCCGGGCTGAGAAACGGCTGGAATTTTGAGCAGCTTTCATGCGTTTGTATGCAGTGGAGTTACAGGGTGGGGTGTGCTTTTAGTTATTTGTCTTTTAAATTTTTTATCGTATTTTAATTTGTTGGAGAAGCAGAGCTGCTTCATTTAGCTGGGGGAAACCCTTCACCAGTAGCGAGCTGGAGGTCTTTGCTGGAGACACCACGCTTCCCTCAGCTGGTGCAAGACTTCTGGATTCATTTCACAAGTGGAGGAGGGTTTTTAATGGGAGGCCACAAATCTAAGTGGATAAATAACGCCTCAGGAATGGCATTAAACTTACAGTCTGTTAACTTTTATTAAAAGGTTGGCAATGCCACTTCAAAATATTTGTATTAACTTTAGCAACTTATTGGGGAAGCCGTTTCAGCTCCTTGCACCCTGTGCACCCTTACCATGGCACGATCAAGCAGGACCAGCAGTACATCGTGTTGGCTCTGGATGACCCCACAAAGAACCCAGGAAAGACTTAAGAGTGGTAATAAATAATAATAATAGCAATAAAAAAGGCCGATATGTTCAGGGATCTTCCCCCCTGCTTCTACTTGGCGTCACAACAAGAGACACAACTCAATTACTGAAAAAGAAGGACTGTGGAGGATGTAATTGCCATCTAGCAGCAGGACCCTCTTGAATTGATTACTTTTTCCCTTTAGGAGCTTGCTTGTCAGTTGAGCTTTGCTTTCATTAACGTACTTTTCCTCCCAATTTTAGTCTGCTCAAAAATATCCTAAAAAGCAACTTTTTTTTTCTTCCCTCCCTCGCAGAATAGCACTACCAGCCAGTGCAGAGGCTGTTTGTAAATGAAGCTGAACAGGGGAATTTTCTGATAGGGAAGGATTTTGGTTGTTATCGGTCTCCCCTATGAGCCAGGGCTGTGGCAGTGTTCTCGCCTCCTCCAGGTGTCCCCTGGGGAAGACACAGCAGGCGTGCAGCACTACCTGGGATTGTTTCGCTCCCTTGCTTGGCTTTCTCTGCAAGCTGCTGTGATCAGGGAGACTGGTGCGGGGGTCCCAAGGTGTCCCCTGGGCCTCTCCATGTCCTGGGAAGGGGCTGGTGCATCTCCTAGCAGAAACGTGCTGGGAGGAGCGCAGCGGGGAGCTAAGAAGGAATAAAATCTGTTGGACCTGGTGACCTCTGCACAAAATACCTGGTCTGGAGGTGAACCAACCCCTACACTGAGCAGCAGCCAGGAATGTTGTGGTGAGCAATGCCCAGAGAATCGGGGCGAGATGTGTGTTCCTACCCAAGACCTGCATTAACAATTTTTTTAAGCTCTGTCCCTGTCAATCTTTCCATCTTTCCATCTTCCTATGAAGATTTAGATCATGTGCATTGCACATTAAAAATAGCCATTCCCTTTCCTTCAGGGAAGGAAGTGATATTTTGGGATTTTGTTCCGATGTCTTTTTAGTATGTATTTCTTTAAAGTGTTCTTGAATATTTTCGAAGAACTGATCTTACAGAGTTAGGAAAGCGCCTTACATAGATGGGATACCAAAGAACAGTTATTAATTGATTGAAAGGAACCAATTTGTATGCAGTAACACTTAGTTTATTAATAATGATTAGCAGAAGTGCCTTGGTCTACAAATATTTTTTAGGTAAGCTTGATGTATGGTTCTAGTTGATGAATTATATCTACTACAACTGAAATAAATGCTTGGGAGCAAATTGACAGACTTGTGTGATATTGCTACCAAGACTTCAGGAAGTGCTGTACGCCTGCTGCAAGGGAAGGACGCTCCAGACAAGGCAAAATTACAATAGAGAGCAACAGAAATTGAGCAATCAGATACTGCAGGCATTGCCCCAGCTACTGCAAAGCCTACAGTGTGCGTTTAGGACCCCCAGGGCATGTGCCGGGGTCCCTGCTCGTACTGTGGCAGTCCCCAGGTGTTGGTGGAGCATCCCAAAGCACCGCATCCTTTGGGCATGTTTAACCTCACCCAGCACCTGCACTGCCACCGGAGCTTTGTGCTTTACATGGCTGTGCACACAGGTCAGGGGGAAGGAGCTGTGCGAAAATGTAATATTGTGAGATCCTCCAAAATATGGGTTTGTTCATGGTTACGAATGGCCTCCTGCAGGAGGGATTTCTGTGTGATCTCAGGCTCACAGCGAAGTCACTCTTGCAGTGCTGTGTCAGAGCGGTTTGATTCGCGCTGTACCTGACAGCTGACTGGGGCATCTTACCCGAATTTGTCTGTACGAGGAGCCAAGTGAAGCAGGTTCTGGATGTCAGCTCGTAGCCCGCAGGAAAACTCATTAAGGGATGAGCTGCACCGTGGACTGTTTTGAAAGCAGAGGTTCTCACAAAGAAGATCATTATTCAACAAAACGGTTTCTCCGAGCAGTAAACAAAATATAATCAGGCTTGTGACGTGAATGGCACATTGTAAAGCGGTGTCAGCTGTGGGTGGGACCTTCAAACAGAAAGAGCATCTGCCCGGCTAAGTGGAAGCGTGCTCTCGGGGAGCCCTCCTTCCTTCAGGCACTGCGCACACAGAGAGGAAAGCGGGGATCAGAGGGGGTCTCCGGCTAATGAAGGGAGGCGTGCAGGAGAAAACAACACTGGCTCCTGCCCCCCCGTGTCTCCTTTTAACACTGGAGGGGCTGCCTTCTTCAGCTGAGCACAGCATAAATAAGTCATGGTTCTGGTAACGTTGAACCCAAAGAAAGAGATGCACAGCTTGGGGAGATCTCCAGAGAGACAACATGCATCCGCCTGGCATGGACAGAGGGAACATCAGTCCTTACAGGATTACTTTTATTGTTCTTGACTGATGTGTCAGGGAAATGAAGCAGGAAGAGGAACTCCAAAGGCTAGCTGGAAAACAACCACCACAAACGACCCCCAGTGTGTATTTTAAGGTTTTGAAATCGGTGGAGTCAGCCTAACCACCTCGGAGAAGGAAAAGCAGCCCCGAGGGTCAGGGCTGAAATGTCAGAGCAGTGCCCTGGGGAAGGCCCCGAGGTGCAGAGGGACTGCAGGGACACCCTGCAGGCTGTGGGAGCATCGGGTGCCTCTCGGAGCCTGGGACTCGTGTCTGGTGGGGTTATGAGGCTTTTAACAATTCCTGCTGCTTTCAGCTCCTTCCGAGCCACAAGCTTCTTTTTACTAAACAAGGAATTAACTTCCTGTAGGGTTTTCTGTCTTAAAGGGTGGATGCCACACCTCGGTCAGTGTTATGCATGACCTGTGTTAAATGGGATGGTCAGAAATCCTCTCCCCCTGGAAAATCCAACAGGCTGCCAGCAAGTCCCAGGAGCTGGAGCCAGGCAGTGAATCAGGAGAAGCCTCCTGAGCTCTCCCCAGCATCTCCTCCTCCTCCTCCTGCTCCCACGGGCTCTCAGCTGGAGGCTGGGGGCAGAGGGAGCCGCGGGCTGCTGCTGTTTGAGCTGCACCCAAGGGATGGGGTGCCGGGGGACCCCTGGCTCCCACCTCCAAGGGCAGCAGGACCCAGCCCTACCCCCAGAAACAAGCCATGGGATCTAGGCGCTGTGAGCTTGCTGCACGTCTTTTATCCAGCTCTTTGCTGCCTGGGGAAAGGTGGCTCTGTCTCCACCAGCCCCCTCCTGCCTGCGGTGCGCGGGAGGGAGAGCTGCGGCGCAGGTGGGTGGCGAAATGCAGAAACCCAGAAATGCAGAATGACAGAATCGAGCCCAGCTCGGGGGCTGGCAGCCACTGCCCTATGCTGAGATGGGACTGGGGGCAGAAGGAGCAGCCCAAGCTGGTTGTCAGCTGCCAAGGGAGCTCTTCACGTGTGTAATTAGGTGGCGAGCAGCAGTGAGGAGGGACTGGGAGAGCCCTGACCTGAGAGTGCTGCAAGATGCTCTTCTGGGCATGGAGCAGCACCCGTTACAGCTAAGCAGCTGAACAACAATACTGGGGAGTTTAATGTCAGAGAAATTAAATATGAAGTTTTCCAGATGGAAAAATTAGCCCTTAGTACATTTTTTTGTACCTCGACACTGGTATTTTCACATTTGGTTTCCAAACTGGTTTCAGAGATAAGTGTGGGATCGGGGTATGCTGTGCCCACCACCAAATCCAGAATAGTAGGGGTGTTATTTAAGAGCAGTAATTTGGGAAGAGAGATAATTAGGAAACAAAAGTGTATTAAAATTACTATAAAAAAGGATAAAGCTCATAAAAATGAAATTGCTTGACTGATAAAGTGAAGTTTCAAACTTATAATGAGCTTAGACACAATGCTGTTAGCACAGGAAGGTAACACACCTAATTGAGAGGCTAAAAACATGCATTTGTAGACTGGAATAATGTGTAGGAAGCGGAGGTGGTGATGGTTTCCCACCTTGTGGTGCCCACAGCGCCCATGAGTTGCCCTCTTGCCCCTTCCACTTCCCAAATAGCCAGCGCTTGGGGTAAGCACCCCCGTTGAAGGGCTGAGTGGCCCACAGCACCAAGAAGATGACAGTTTTTTATCCCTCTGGGAAGAAATATAACTTGCTTTTGAGGGTAAATAAGCAAGTTAGTGTGGTATCTTCCGCTCACCCTGCTAATGCTGAGGGTGCTCTGGGTATCGCTCTTCACCTCTCGTTCTAGCCAACTACCAATGGATACCAAGAAAAATTGAATCTTTCTGCTCTGAAGCCTCCCATTAGTCTTTCTGCGAGAGAGTTCATCTGACTCTCTGTCAAGACTCTCTTTAGAGCAGTAGGTAGATGTGAGCTGGCACCATCTGTTGTTTGTTGCTTTTTGGCTAGCGCGATGTTTGGAGCTCATCGCGTACGCATTTTGGGGAAATTACGAAACAGTTAATTTCTAAACAAGCTACTGAGGGTGAATTCATTGATCTGACTTGACTGAGGACCTGGGATGCTCACAGTTTTTCCCTAGCTATGCAAGCATCATACCCGAGGTACCCAAAGTGCACGCAGACCTGTGGTGATGCAGAAGGCGCGGAGGGGAGGCAGGCTGGCAGGTTAACCAAGGAGGGTTAAAAGCAGACCAGGCAGACTTGTTCCATACGACTGCATGAAAAACAAATCTTTCCTTAAATGTCTGTGCTCTTGATTCCTCAACTCAACAGGAAAATGTGGACAGCAACTTGGTCTTTTGTGTGTGCATTCGGAATAAGCCATTTTAAGTATTTCTCTTGGTTTGAGTGCCTTTCTGTTTCTTTTCTTAGCTCCCTGAATGGATCTCCTATATGCAAAGCCCTGCAGAGCTTAATTCCGGGTGATGCATTTGTTGTTCTGATTTTAAGAAAAAGAGACCTGTCTGACCCCGGAATCCGATGTGCCGGGAATGCCCCTGGGATTTCAGCAAAGGGGCCTGGCTGTCCCTAGCAGGCCTGGCAGGTGTTTGCTCACCCCTTTGTGCTCTCGCTTTCCGTGGAGCATGTGGACGGTGAAAATGAAGTGCAGCGACCCCTCGTTTGTCTTCTCCTCCTAAATAATCAGCGTCTGAAATACGGATATCAATAACACCACCTTTGTATAAAAATAACTTCAGAATGTTGTATGAGAAACTGGAGAACAGATCGATCGAAGTATAATGGGAAGGAAATTCATATTTTATAGTTTAACTTGCCAATTAATCATCTTTGTGCAGTCGTATGCTCCTCTGACAGCTGCTTGAACTGCCACTGGGTTCGTCTCGCACCCAGCAAGGTTAAGATTTACTGTAATCTCCTGATGTGTCCTCCTAAAAAGCCAGCAAGTCTGGGGACAGAGTGAAAAAGGGATCGATGGACAATTAGGAAACATAAAAGGTGCTGGTGGCAGGGCAGCCCGGAGATCACCCCGCCAGCCGAAGGTGGTGCTGCTGCCCCTCTGCCCCTTCCCTCTCCATCCACCCCCCTCCCAGAGGTTATTTTCTGGTCTGCTCCCTCATGGTTTGGCATTTTAATTCTATATTGTATTTTAATTCTAATATTGTATGTGTCCTCTGGGAACTCAGCAGTGCTGGCCCGACGGCCAGACCCTCTCTGCCACCGCCACCTGCCTGTGGTCCCCTGCCAGAGGGGGGGAGAGGTGTCCTGGGGAGCTGGGCACCTCGAGGCACCTCTCACCATCACCCTGAGAGATGGAAAAAGGGCTCCTAGCAACTCTGAAGTCCTGTGTCACGTATGTCTTGCTGCAGTGGCTTTTGTTGCGCTTTTTATGCCCTTCATTTGACATTTCTGAGAGTTTTCTTGGTGGGGTTACAGCAGGGGACAGACTATTAGTCTGTGTCGTTAGGAGAAAAGGGAATAATCACCTGGCTGGGGCGTTTGTTTGGCTGGGTGTTTTGGCAGCCCTGCTTGGGAAGAAATCAGAGCTCTCAGATGGGGTTCCTGACGGCTGCGCTGCTGCGGAGGAGTGAGCCGGGTGCTTTAGCACCTGGGAAGAGCAATCTGCTGGTGCTCAGGCAGCTCCAGGCACCCGAGGTGCCAGAGGAGATCCCTCTCCTGCTCCAGCCCCTCTGTGTGGTGTGAACCGAGCAGCTCAACCTCTGGCAAGGATAGCAGCAAACCTCATTCCCTGCGCCTCTCCCCTCGCAGACAGCACACGGGGAGGGATTTGTTCATTAGGAATCTGCTGAAGCATGCAATGCCGGAGGCTCTGGTCAGGGCTAACATCTGGAGGCAACTTCGGCATGGCCACATCTGTGTCTGCATGCCTGTGCACAGGGAGCTTCTGTGTAATGCCTGCACAAAATGGCACGAAATGCTGTTCTGCTCCTGGTTATCACAAGTAAATTTTTCCCTCTGTGTGCCTACTGTGCTGGAAGGGAGATCTCAGATACCCCCCTTCCCACCCCCCAAAAAAAAGCACTTCCATGCTGAAATAATGATAGTTGAAAAAAGTTATGCTCCAAACACTTCTCTTTTCTCCCACTGTGGCCTTTCCCTTCTAACTCTCCCATTAGTCACAAAGAGGAAAATAAAAGCTTCTGCTGGCGCAAGAGGTTTTTCTCTTTGGCTACAAATCCCGGTGGCCGCGTTGTGTACCTTGCTGGCTTCGTGGCAGAGCCAGCCCTGTGCGGTTGCTCCCTTGCCCCTTTCTCGAGACCTGCAGTGAAGGAGGCTCCCCCAGGCTTTCTGGTTCCCTTTCTCACCCTTTTAAAATTCTTCCAGTTTTCTTCTCTTGCTACAGTTTAGGAGTGCTGCTTCTTGTTCTATCCACCAGGTCCATGAAAAAGAGTAATCCCTTTTTCTTGCCAGCCACCCTTCTGCATATTTATGGATTATTTCTACACCCCTGCTTCCCCACTTCTTTCCCATCTTTAACCCAACGTGGTCCATATCCAGCCACCAGCACTGCTGCTGTGGGCTGCAGCCAGAGGAGAGCCCCAGGGGGGGAATCCTCCAGGGCCAGTCCATGCCCAGGGCCAGCTCGTGCTGTGCTGGCAGCCACTGGAAGGGGTTGCTGCTGTACTGACACCCGTGCTGCTGTGCCAGCTTCTCAGCAGTACAGGCCATTTCAAGCACATCAGCTTTTAATGTGACAGTAAACGCTCCCTGGGCTCGCAGGCAGGTGTACCAAATCTGTCAGCAGCAGCAGAACACCATCGGAACAGGCCCTGAGAATAAGCTCCACGAGGAACTGGGGAGCTGCCAGACCCATGTCACTTCTCCATCGCATAAAAGGACATCCTTCCAGCCTTCCCCTCATTAAACACAAGGGCTGGGCACGAGGATGGCTGCTCAGAGCAGCCCCTACCAGAATGAAGCAACCCCACTGCAGGTGCTTTGGTGGGGGAGCAGGAGGCAGCGGGGCTGCTGCTTCGTTCTGAGAAGCTGCTCCATGCCCTGAAAATGAGCATGAAGCAGAATGTGTGCGCATGAGTATGGCAAGTGAATCCATAGTGGGAAAAGTTTATTTGAAGCTTTTCACTTTGAAAAGTGTGGCTTCAGAGCCAGCGAGTGCTGCACTGATCGCCCCAGTTCTGCGCAGGGATTTGTGGAGTTTGTCCTCTTCCCCCAAGCACTGCGGGGCTGTTCCCAAACGATGGCGTTCGCTGCCCAGGCGCTGTTTCTGTGCGCTTTGCTCCATCCCTGGATGCTTAAATTGAACTCAGCATCACTGCCACTCGCTGGACTGGCCAGGAAAAGCAGAGCACAGCACAGCTCGCTGCTCCTGGCAAGTGCTGCAGCTCGTCCTGCTGCGGTCACCTCCGCCTCGGCCGGGGAGCAGGCGGCAGCGCCAAGCCTGGACCATGCCAGCCTCCTGCACGTGGGCTGGAAAACACCCAAGGATTTCCCCAGCTCCAGGCAGGAGCAGAGCAACACTTCCCTTAGTATTCTTTGAAGTGTAGGAAAAGAAAGTCTGAAAGAAAAAGCAGCTGATGCTTGTGTGTGTGTTTGTTTAGCCAGGCTACAAAATGTCATTATAGCAGCTGACTTCAGCTGACCTGAGTGAGCTTGGGCTTTCTGAAGTCACATTGCCTGCACAAACCTTCACATCTAATATTAGTAAAGTATTTGGTAAGACGGCACACTGCTAAGAAATTATAATTCCCCCTCATCACCATCCCCCCCCCCCCCAAAAAAAAAAAAAGTAAAAAAAATAAAATGCTGGCATTTGCCAGGAACTAAATTTGGATTCAACATTGCAAATAAACTCCTCTGAGAAACATTTTTTTCCTTCTGGACCTTAAATAGAAGAATACTCAAAGATGGTTTTGGTCCTTTCCAACTTTCCTTGCTTATGTGAAAAAAAAAATAGTATTGACAATGTTGTGTACCTTGGAAAAATGTAATTAAAAGTATCTCCCAGTGATTGGCAGGGCTCTTACTCTGCTCTGAATGCAGAGGTGAGCGGACACCAAGAGCAGCTGAACTCCTTCAAATTCCCCACATTTCTTCTCCCCCAAAATAAATCCCCAGCAACTATGTCCAACGAAATACAATTTGTTATTTTGCTGCTATATGGAGTATTTTAAGGATGAACTGCTCTTAAATAGACAAAAAACAATCAAACAAAAAAACTTTATTAAATAGACAAATTCTACTCCAGGATTATTGCATTTCATAGGAAACAATCATTTTTTTCCTGTCACTATATATTTATTTTTTTTCCTGTTTAGCTACAATCACCATTACATGTTTTTTGTGTTTAAAAATGTGGCCAAGCACTAAAATATTTAGACCTGATCTTCTCTTTATCTGATTTCTGTCACTTTGTAGATTACTCAAATCTGTGCGTCCCAGGATCTCTGAGGATGACTGTAAGCAATGTGTTTTCCTGACCTCGTGTTTATCCATGTATCACAATAATTGTACTTCAAACCTTCCTGGTAATTAACTTTGCTACGGTTATTCACTGCCACCAGAGACCTAATTCCTTTGTGCACTGAATACAAAGAGACAATATCAGTTTTTAAGACCTTTGACTTTCTTCTACACTGTTTTGGGAAGCCTCAGGTTTGCCTGTGGACATCTGCATAATCCTGATGCCCCAACTTTTCCATCACTCGTGGGCATCCTGGGCACACGAGGATTTACAACCATGGCAGCAGGTGCAGCGGGATATTTGCCTTTTCTCCCCAGGTGGCACCTGCCATGCCGATAGGGTGCGGAACCAGAGCAGTGCTGGTGCTCTGGCAGACACAGACCCATCAAACCCTGAGTTGAAAGGGACCCCTATGGCTCATCAAGCCCAACACCTGCCATCGAGTGACTTTGAGCTGTGCAGCTGAAGCGTTGGTGTGTCCTATGAAGCGAGGCTTCATAAAAGTTGCCTTACTTTTGGAGGGAGGCTGGATGCTGCTGGCCAGAGGCCTGCCCAGCTCCTGGTGCCCAGCTCCCTGTGGAAGCTCAGCCCTGCATGGAGGAAGGCTCCTGAGGCTGCCCTGCCATGGAGGCTCCCTGGGGCCTTCCCAGGCCATGTGAAGGAGCTGCCATGGAGCCCTTTCTCCTCACACCATCACACAGAACGTGGTGACCCTCTCCCAGCTGCTTGAGGCTGGGACGCCTCCTTGGGCAGCCACATGCCATGGGTTGAGTTTTAACGAGGGCAGTTAATGGGTAGTGCTGCTGGGGGCTTCTTCCCCAGCCTGGCAGGAGCTGAGGGCACTGCTGGTGGTGGTGGTGTACGTGCCTGGTGACAGGATGAGGGGGAATGGGCTAAAGTTGTGCCAGGTGAGGTTTAGGTTGGATATTAGGAAGAACTTCTTTACTGAGAGGGTTGTGAGGCACTGGAACAGGCTGCCCAGGGAGGTGGTGGAGTCACCATCCCTGGAAGTCTTCAAAAGACGTTTAGATGTAGAGCTTAGGGATATGGTTTAGTGGGGACTGTTAGTGTCAGGTCAGAGGTTGGACTCGATGATCTTGAGGTCTCTTCCCACCTAGAAATTCTGTGATTCTGTGTGTGTGTGTGGTGTCACCCCTGCTGTGGGGCTGCTCTGGGCACGCTGTGAGGGCTGCAGGGCCCCCTGCCCTCCCCGTCTGCCCCACCTTGGGAGCACAGCCTTCGAGCAAGCCAGGGGCAGGCTATCCCCGCAGTACAGACGCGGGCAGCTGCTGAAAAACCTCAAAGCACCGTGACAGGGGGGGAGCTCGGTTCCCCTGAGGGGCCCAGCCCGCTTCCCCCGCGGGGCACCGGGCGCGCTGCGGGCGCCGTCCCCTCACCGTGCAGCGGGGGCGGCTCCGCTCTCTGCCCCTCCTCAGCCTCTCCCCCAACCCCTAAAACACCAAGGGCCGCCCGGAGGGGCCGGGAGCCCCCTGCCATGCCCTGCCCTTCCCTTCCCTGCCCGGCCCGGCCCGCCCCACGCGGGCGGCGCCTCAGCGGGGCGGCGCCTGGGCTCGCCTCAGCCGGGCTGGCACTCGGCGGCGGCTGGGAGCGGAGCGGGGCTGTGGCAGCCCCGGGCCATGCAGGATGCTGCCGGGCCCCGCAGCCCAGCGGCCGCCGCCGCTGCTGTGGCCGGCGGAGCCCCCCTGGGGCTGGGCGGTGCCGGCGGCCGCCGCGGGGCTGCTCCGGCTCGGTGGGGCTGCCCCCCATCCCCATCCTCCTCCTCCTCCTCCTCCGCCACCGCTGCTGCTGTCCGCGCCGGGCTGGCACGTCCCCTGCGAGCCGCTGCTGCCGCTGCTGCCCGCCGAGCACCGGCACCACCGCCGGCAGCTGCTGCCCGGGCAGGTAACGACGGGACGGGGCCGTGGGGGCCTGTGGGGGCTCCGTGGGGCTCCTCCGCAAAGAGCCCGGCTGGGCGCTGAGCCGCCGCTAGAGGTACTCCCAGCCGCGGAGCAGCGGCAGTCTTGCACCGGACCTGCGGTGTTTTCATCTCTTTTTTTTTCTTTCTTTAATTTTTTCTTCCCACCCCGCGGCTGGGACCCCCCCCCTAGCAGGGCTCGCAGCCTGCCCCGGCCGCTCGCTGCCCCTCGCGGCTCTCCGTGAGCTCGCAGGGCAGAAGCACGCCCGGCAGAGCCCGTGCCCGCTCCCGGCTGATGTTCTGGGTTTGTTCGTGAGGTTTTTTGGTCATGCGGAGAAAAAGCCGCGGTCTGGGGGCGAGCCGCAGCCCCCCCGCCCGGCGCTGCTTTACCGGGGATCCGCAGGGCAGCTCCCGATGCCCCTACAGCGCCTACAGAAACCCAAATGTATTTGGGGGCTGGAGAGGCTTGGTTCTGAAACGTGCAGTCATCTCTTCTTTAATTAAGAAACCATGAAAAGCGTCGGTTTAGTCGTGGTGAAATCCCTTTGTTAACTTTTCTCCCTGCTTTTTTCTTTTTTTTTTTCCCCCTCCCTCAGTGGATATTCGGAGGCCATCATTCTCCCGTCATAGGATTTTCGCCGTCGTCGGGTGTGGAATTTGTGCCTCTCTTTCCCCCTGTGTACGCATCCACGGTGCCGCCTCACGCTGGGAAGAACTGGATGGATAAAAGGCTGCCGAGCTGCAAAGTAAGTCCGGGTCTCGTATTCTGGAGGGTGCTTAATGCTGGTGCATGCAGGCTGTGCGAGCCGAGGAATAGTCCTGGTTCTGGAAACTGCAGCTGTGTGCAGGAGGGCAGGGGTTTGTCTGGGAACCCCCCAGGGAGGACGAATGTCACAGGGTGATGGGCAGAGGAGGGCACTTCTAGTGTTAAATCTTCAGCCTTGTGAAGTTGTGCAAAGAATAAAATATCTTTACTATTTATCCATGCTACGCTGAGTGAAACGCTTTAGCTTCACTCCCGAGTGGGATTTTAAGGGTTTCCATTTTCCCCTCCTGAGCTCTTCCCCGTTTTCCTCAGGAGGGGACATGGGGGTGCAGCGCAGGCAGCGCTGTCTCTGGGATCGCTGCCAGCCCTGGGGCTGGCGCCAGGGTTTCGCTCACGGTCCCAGGCCCTCGTGCTGCCCATCGTTATTTACATCCGTAAATTTAACTAGCTGAATAATTGAAATGAGGCTTTGTGACTGTGCGTTCCCATTTCCTTCCCTCGTCCCTGTCACTCCAACCTAGAAGATGACTGAGGTCTCTGAATTGCAGACAGACGTGCTCTGCAATAGCTCTGTCTGAGGCACAATTGGCTTCTGTTATTATTTTCTGTTGGTGATGCTGCATAAACTGATTATTCATGTTCAGAGCCAGTTAATTTTCTCATCATCAGCTAAACACTGTCCACAATGCTTACGGAGCAGCAGCGATCTGTTCTTGTAAGTTTGTCCCCAAATTGAGATACTTTCCGTATCATAACAGTAAGCTAAAGATTAAAAGAAAAAATGAGAAATAGAAGTGAGAATAAAGTATCTCAAACCTTAATGTTTTTATTTGTATTGGACAGATATACTTAAATAATGCATTTGCTCTGGACTCAGCATGGATACATCCTGAGGAATCAAGACTCTTCCAGGGAAATGAGAAGCCTCTATTAATGACAAATCAAGTAGCTATGGCTATAGCCAGGCCAGCTACTGCCTCCAGGCCTCTTCCCACAGTGGTGTTGGCACCTCAGCTGATACCAGGTTAGTAAATAATTAAGTATTTACCGCTTTTTATGCAACTCCAGAGAGGCATAAGCCATTTTCTAAAGTAAGGGTTTCATCCATTCATTTGAAAATCTCTCAATTGATCTGGAACCTTGATGGCAGAGTGCTTTTCATCCCCTAAATTACTTTAAAAGAAAGAAAAGAACATATTAATTATAGAAGATTGCAACAGATGATTCCGTAGCTGGTTGTCTACTTCCAGAAAGATGGGGCAAGCCGCCCTCGAGATACTTGGCTTATTTTCAATTAACCAGAAAAAAATAATACTGATAAGAGTTCGTGTGTGATTCTTCTATTTGCTGTAAGTTGTACAGATTTGATGTGGTTTGTGTAGACGGTAATCAGTAGAGAAGAGTAACTGCTCCATCATCTCATTAGAGCTCAGTTATGCTCGGTGATATTTATGAAATAAATGACATTAATCCACATAACTCGGGTGTGTCACAGCTGCTAATAGAAAAGCTAAGCTTTGTGATTGGAAGAGAGCAAAGCGTGCTGCCATAAAGCTGAGTCTCTCTGTGAGTTGCAGTATTAATTTGGAAGAGCAGTTGTCTCACAGAAAGGATTAAGAACTAAAATGCTACTGATACTTAAACCAGTAACTTACGTTCTGAAATTCAGAATCAGGATATTCTTAATGGTTTGCCGACTTTGTTTCTGTCGTGGATGTAAGGTGATGGTCATTTGGTTGGCAGAGGAGCCCTCGTTCCCTTGGTCTTTCTGTGTAAGGCACTCTGTGTTTTGAGCCTGTGTAGCATGCAGTCAGTTTCTTGTATTTTTCCAATAAGACAGAAGTTCAGTGCGAGTGTGCTGGAAGAGATTACTGTTTGGGTTAATTTGCCAGATTGATTAATTAGCGTGTTGAACAACTCCGATCAGCTCTGTTTTGAAGTTTCCAGCAGCCCTTTACAGTAAGCTGCTCTCGGTCCTTGCCACAAGCAGGCAGTGCTCGGCTGCGGGGCCGTGGCTCTGCTGGGAGTGATGGCAGTCGTAAGTAGGGACACCAGGGGTGAGAACCCATTGCGTTAATGCATTCCCACCTGGATGGGGTAGGCAACGTCTGAGCGGTGTTCCCAGGCAGGATGCATCGCTTGAAATGCATTCTTAATGACAAATGCAGTGGTGAGGAAGGAGTTTGGCATAGCTGCACGAATGCACATGTGGCGGATGGGTTGGGAGCCTGGTACCTGGTAAACTGGCTGGAATTTATGGGCTGGCTCTGAGTCTTCAGAGAGCTCTGTGCTGAGCTGTCGGCTCAGACAATGCAGCAAAGGCTGAGAGTTTGACATATATCTTATACTTACTCTTTGTATTTGAATTATATATATATATCTGGTAGCAGATGAGGAGAGCTCGCGAGGCAGAGCAGGGTTTTCCCAGCCGAACGGCAGGGTTGTGATCCCGAAGTAGCAAGGGGAAGCTGTGTTGTCGCTGAAGATTTCCTTCCTGGTGAACAATATGTGCACAGCCAGGCGTGTGTTGACAGGTCTTCAGATGGATCAAACTGGTGCTGATCCATTTTCTTCTTATTATCCTCCTGCTGTAAAAGGTTTCTGGTAGAATTACCCTGAATGGCATCTTTTTTTCCTGCTGATACAAAGTCTGTCTGCTGTTAATTCCGTCACTGACCTGTCACTGCTTACATTTCAAATTGAACTTGGGGAGCGACCAAGTTGCGTGGTTGCTGATTTGGTTTCTTCTCAGGCTCTGCCTTTCCCCTCTTTTCCCATCTATTGGTTGTTTTCCCATTGCCTTCTCTGTTCAGGGCTGTGTCCAGCACTGTGCTCAGCGCTGCAGCCTCACCTGCCTCTCTGCCCTCAGTTAAATGTACTCATGCTACATCTAATTCTAGTTGCTGCTTTTACAGGACAGGCTTATGACAGCCTTTTTTCTGCTCGTGTCTCTAAATTTCTCTTCCAGCCCTTTTTCCTTCAGTGTATGGCAACTTCTTTGATTATTGCAGCTCCTTTCAGAATGCTGCTCTTAGGGCTGCGCAGCACGGGCAGAGGTTGCTGGTGGTAAAACTCCTGACTCATTCACCTCTGCAGGTCTTACCCTTCAGGCTCCTTCCCCGTGCCACTAGCAGCCTGGCACGGTGCAAGCCCCTGCTTTTCTTCCAGAAGAGTGCTCAGCATTTGCTGCCCTCCTTTTCAGAAAGCTCTCCGTGTTCCCCTTCAAGTGGGAGAGGAGCAGGGGAGGGTGTGAAACACCCCCCAGCTAACTTCTTAAATCCTCCCATCCCTCTCTAAATGTTTTTGTGACCGATGCAATCCATGCATCAGGTGGATGCTAATCAAATAATGTGCTCTGAGGTCTGTGTGCTCCGGAGCTCGTGAAGGCAGACGTGTATATTTATGACCCTGCTGCAAGAATGGGAAGATGATATCAGTGCCTTACAGCCCGATCAGGAGCTGCTTCCAAACATACTTAAAGTTCCTAGGAAGTGTTATGGCAGTACTTGAAGTGTTTCCTATATAATCTTTACAGTTAATATGAAGAGTAATAAAAATACTGAGAGCAAATTGCTTAGTTAAGTGGTTTAAACGCAGAAGTTAATAAGCTTTTTGCAGGCTACATGGCTGTATTCGTTTTGAAAGCCTATCTTACAGGCAGGTTTGCCTTCCACAGTTATCAGTAATGATATAATTGTTTTCTCAGTGTATCAGCAATGTTACAAAGATAAAGGAATGAGGCTTTGGCGTTTGGTGAATGGTAATGCCCGTAATTTCACAGCTGTGAGTACGAGCTACTAGGAGGTGTTATTTTCTGCAAGAGAAGGAAGCTGCTATTATTCTCCAGTATATTACAAAACATGAATTTATGTGCTTACAATTTTGTGTATCTAAAGTGAATAATGGCATTTTATTTTCCCACCCAGAAGCGATAGCTGGTTTTATGTCTGTCGGGCTCATTACTGTAAGCGAGGAAGGCAGTGTTGAGGTATTTTTGCGGAGGAAGGATGAATGCTGCTGTCGCCTGCGGTGTGCTGCCTGCCACGTGGACGGAGTCACAGCTGGTTTGGACCGAGTCAGCCATGCCCGTGTTAGCTGTGCTGTCTGGCTTTGCTCTGCTGAAGGAGCTTCCTGGAAGCTTTCCTCAAAGCACCGTGAATTAGCTGTCCTGGGTGGCTAATCCGTTTGCAACGAGGTCTCTGCCTTGCGCTGAAGCTTTCGGGTTTCAGCACTGAGCTTCCCATGGGGAGCAGCATCCGCAGGCACGGCTCTGCCTGGGGACAGGGGTGCAGAGGTACAGAGATGCACGTTACCTTCCTCCTGCTGCCTTCTGCACGTCCCTGCGCGGCTGGTGGCCTATGGAGGGAGCCTTGGTTCCACTGTTCAGGTGAAAGCTGTAGCCCTCTGGTCCTTGATGTTCGCTGCTTTGCTGTTCCCGATGGTAGTGAAGCTGCTTTCAGTATGCATCCCTGCAGTTCGGCGTCTCCGGCTCTGAAGAGCACTGCTGCCAGCAGTTCCCTGGTAAGCCACGTGTTCCTGCTGGTGCGTGGAAGAAGGTTTTCACGGGAAAACCTGGAGAACAATCCTTTCATCTTGCCTTCTGCAAGGGGAGGTTCAGGAGGTACAGACGGAAGTCTTGTATCTCTCTAGAAGTGCTTTATGAACCACGGCGAGCAGAGCCTACCTGGGCAAACACCGAAGCTGGTCCCACCTCTGCTCGTGTGCTCCAGCTGCTGGCACGTGGAGGGGGAGTGAAGGAGGCATCCTGGCTGAGGACAGCAGAAACCCAGAGATGTTGTTACATTGAAATGATGGGTTTCAGCCTGTAGCTGTTGAAATCTGTGTATGGCTTCTGCTCGCTGAAGGGTGACTGAAATGTGAGGTTAGCTGTGTGGTGCCTCCTGGGACCGTGAGCACGGTCCCACATCGCACAGCTCAAAGTCCTGTAGGGACTGGAAGCTTCCTGGCTCTGTAGCAATGCCACTAACACCTTGTCTTGTGCTGTGTCTGACAGCATGCAGGCACTCTGGCAGCACCAGCAATATAACATCTTCCTGAGGGCTGTAGTACTGTGTAGCTTCCAGCAGAGCACCTGTGGACAGCCTCGGGGATTGTGCAGGGAGATTCCTGGGCCTGCAGAGGGACCTGGGCATCCGTACCTGACCCAAATCCTGTCCGCAGCCGGTGCTGAGAGGGCCCAGAGCTGAAGATTGCTTCTGTTAGTGCTGCTGATGGCTGATTGAATAAAGGCTCCCAAACTTCTCTATGGGCGAGTGTCATGGGCAGTGGCCTAGCCCAACAGTTTGGGGACTTGGTAGCCTTGAGAAAGTGGTGTCTGCAGGAGCCTCAGTGTAAATAGAGCCTGGGTGCTGCCTTCTGCACGTCCTGCTCAGAGCTGAGTAAACTCAGACACTTCATCAGTTTCCATTTTGAAACATTTTGCAGTCCTCAAACAGTTTTTTTTTTTTTAAACACATTTCAACATAAGACCAGTAAGAATATGCAATTTGTGTTGTACTGGCCCTGGTACTTGCCCAGAGAGGTTGTGGCTGCCCCATCTCTGGAGGTGTTCTGGACCAGGTTGGGTGAGGCCCTGAGCAACCTGACCTAGAGGGTGGCAAACCTGCCCATGGTAGGGGTTGGAACTGGGAGATCCTTGAGGTCCCTTCCAACCTGAGCCGTTCCATGATTCTACGGACTCCTGCAGCAGTAGCTGCTAAGTTATGTGCAGAACAATACGTGATGGGAAACCTGTGGGAGCCTTGTCACTCAGAGCACTAAGTGCTGTGAGTGGATACTGAAGAAGTGAAAGCCTTTTAATTGCTTTGATCTTTAACAAAATGCTCTCAGTATTTTTTTCATTGGGGTCAGTCTAACCTGGAATGAAGACTTCGTGTTGGTCTCCTTGATGGAAGTTAGTCTTTTTAAAGCAGATTTTTTTTTTATGGAAAGATTTTTCAACAGATGTTTTCCACTAAGTCAAAGTTTCTTTCCTTCCCCTACACTTCAACGGGGTCTCTTTGC